TCCTGACTGCTGGTGCCAAGAGTGTTGATCTTAGAGACAGGCAAGTTGTAATTAACAGCCTCAATCTCTTTTCCATCTATAATGGTGCTGCCATTTGGTCCAGTGGTGACAATCTTTGTCTTCTAGATGTTAAGCTTCAATCCAGTCTTTGACCTTCTGCCGCAAACACTTCAGATCCTCCTCAGTTTCAGCAAGTAAGTTTGTGTCCTCTGTATAGCCTGTTGTTGATGAGTCTTCCTCCAATCTTGATACCACATTCTTCTTCATAAAGCCCAGCCTCCTGAATGATCTGTTCTGCATATAGCTTGAAAGAGTATGGAGACAGGATACATTCCTGATACATTCCTTTCCTGATTTTGAACCACTCCTTTCCTGATTTTGAACCACTCCATTCCTGATTTTGAACCATGTAGTATTTCCTTGCTCTGTTCTGGGGACTGCTTCCTGGTCCAAGTATAGGTTTCTCATGAACACAATCAAGTGTTCTGGGATTCCCATTCGTCCCAAGGTTTGGAACATGGCATGTGAGAAGCATGAATGTAGGAAAACTAGATATTGTTATGAAAGAAATGGAATACATAAATATTGACATAGTAGATATTAGTAAAATGAGATGGATTGACATGGGACATTTTGAATCTACTACGCTGGAGATGACAAGATGAGAAAAAACAGTGTCTCTTTCATAGTTAAAAAGACCATTTCTAGATCCATCTCAAAATACAATGCTGTGGGGAGCTCTGGTGGCCTAGTGGCAAGAAGCTGCACTGCAATCTCAGAGGCACATGGTTCGAATCCACCACATGCTCTGCCGGGAAAGGAGGGACAATCTCCTCCTGTACCAGTCAGATCTGATTTGACGGTACACAGACACACAAAATAATAAAAATTAAAAAAAAATACAATGTTGTGAGTGACAGAATGCTATCCATATGCATACAAGGAAGACTTGTTAAAACCACTGTTGTTCATATTTATGCACCAACAACCAAAGTCAAAGAGGAGGAAATAGATGATTTCTATCAACTTTTGCAGTCAGAAATTGATCAAATGTGCAACCAAGATGCATTAACAGTAATGTGTGACTAGAATGCAAAAGTTGGGAATCAGGAAGAAGGCTCAGTAGTTGGAAAGCTTTGACTTAGTGACATAAATGAGGCTTAAGATAGAAAGATAGAATTCTGCACAATCTGTTATTTATTCATTGCAAATACCTTTTATAAAAAAAAACCCCAAACACAGGATATACACGTGGATTTCACGTGATGGAATCAGATCGATTACATCTATGGAAGGAATCATTGGAGAAGTTCAAAATTTGGTCTTGAGTCTATCCCACCTGAATTTAAAAGCCCACTCAGGAACAGATTTGAGACCTTGAACACTAATGAATAAAAACCACATGAGCTGTGGGTGGATATCAAGAATATCATCCACAAAGAATGCAGAAGGTCACTACAAAGACAGAAGAAGAAAAGACCAAAATGGATGTCAGAATAGATGTCAAAATGGATCTCTGAATATTGCAGTAGATCACAGAGAAGCCAAAGCAAAGGGAAGAAATCAAGAAGTTAAGGAGCTGAATTGAAGATTTTAAAGGGCAGCTCAGGAAGACAAAGGAAACTATTATAATGATTCTTCTGTATATGCCATCTCATTGTCTTCTTGTTCACATAGTTTCTGCTGAAAAATTAGAATTTACTCTAATTCTATCTCTCCCAAGTGCTGCCTGACTTTTCTAAAGTTTATATGTAATTGTCTTTGGTGGACCACAGTGTGGCCTGAGACCAGTTTCCCCCTGACTGCTGCACTTTATCTGTCTGGGGTGGACAAGGGGTGCAGCGTCAGGTACCTCTATGCACTTGCCCTCTTGGGTCCTATGTAGCCTGGTGGGAATCATCTACCTGCACCCATCTTGTCTAAAGTTTGTAATTGTCCTTGGTGGTACTGGTCACAGGGGCAACAAGAGACCACCTCCCATCTGGCTGCTTGTACTCTACCCTTGGTGAGTGCAGTGGAGGCAGAGTCTTGTACTTCTATGCAGCTATCCTCTCAGGTCTCCCATAGCCTGGTGGGAATCTGTCCTGCCTGTCCCCGCCTCTCCTAAAGCTTGTAATGGTCCTTGGTGGTGCTGGTGTGCAGAGCAGCCAGAAACCACATTCCCCAGGTGTCACACCCTATGTCTGGTGTTGGGCGAGGGGGGCAGGACCCCATACCTCTCTGTAGCTGCCCTCTCGGGTCTCCAGTAGACTGGTGGGGATCTTTCCTGCCTGTGCCTACCTTTTCTAAAGTTTGTCATTTTCCTTGGTGGTGCTGAAATGCAGGGCTGCCAGAGACCACCTTACCCCTGACTGCTATGTTCTCTATACCCCTGAAATGATCTTTTGCTTTCTTCTTGGATGATATCCAAGATATCATCCCACAACTTACCTGGTCTCTGATTATTTGTGATCAGTGCTTTAAACCTGTTCTTTACATAGTTCTTATATCCAGTTGAGACAGACTCAAGGTCATATTTTGGTTTTCATGTACTTGTTTTTATTTTTTCATTTTCACTTTGTACTAGTATATGAGTAGGTAATGTCTGTTCCACAGTCAGCTCCTTGCTGTTTTTAGCTTTGTTTGCTGAGCTTCTCAATTGATTCTCTCCACAGAGAAAGTCAATCTTATTCCCATGTAGTCCATCAGGTGAGGTCCATGTGTATAATTGCCATTTATCTTTTTTAAAAAACATATTTGCAGTGACTAAGTTATTGATTATATAAAATTTTGTTTTTTAGTCTCCGGCCTCATATCTGTAATCAAGTTTATATTTTCCAACTACTAGTTCTTCTTTGCTTCCATTTTTTATATTTCAGTCACCAGCTCTTATTAACCTGCGTAAGTGCCACCAGGCAGGGAACACTGAGAAAACCATTGGGTAGGAAACAGCAGGAATTTGAGTTAGGACTCCCGTCGTGAACACACTGAGACAGCAGAGGTTTGAGCAAGGTCCTCCAAGTGATTGACCTGCCCTTGCGATCACCCAACACTTTCCCTGCCTC